GAAGCCCAGATCATCAAAGGCCTGTATGAGTCTGGCATAATACTTCTCCACAGACTCCCTTTATCTTGGGTGATGTCTTGAATTGTGGTAGTCTGATCCGCCAATTTCTCCTTTGCCCAGTCATGGAGCTGGGCACAAAACTCCACGCCTGAAGAATAGGAAATAACACTTGTCAGGCAGGCATCATTAAAGGCCGTCTGCATAACCGGCCAGAAAACATGTCCTGCTTTAATTTGGCATAGATTGAGCAGGTCTTTCCAAGCAGCTGAGTAAGTTTCTTGTATCTGCACTACCCTGCGGTAGAAGGGTATTGGCTGTTTCTCTGGGTCAGGCAGACTCGTCACTAAGGCCGCTGCTTGTAATGGGGTAAAAGCGACATACATTACCGGTGCCCCTTCCGGTAATCTTGAATGTCGGTGTTGTCTTGTGTACTGTTCCTGTTTAGGTTGTACTCCACTGTGCGTGGGTTTGGGAATCAAATCTATTGGCGCCCTTGTTGCTTGCAACTGTTGATCACTCCATTCAGATGCATTGTCATTCATGTATCCGGCTTGTGAAGGTAACGCTTCCATATTGGGAAAAACGGGAGTGTGATAGGAACCATCCTGGTTTAGAACAGGGAGAACTGGGTATATGCCTTATTTAGGCCTTCCGGGTGTACCAAGATGGCTGCCAGGCAGAAGTGCACTGGGCTGGACAGGAAATGACCATACAGATGTAGCAAGATGGCTGCTATCAGGAAGTGTACTGGGCAGGGCAGGAAGTGACAACACAGGTATAGCAAGATGGCTGCTAGCAGGAAGTGTACTGGGCAGGGCTGGGGTGGTGGGCATAAAGTAGGCGTTAGATGAAGGGCAGGGCTGTCCCTCCCCTCCTCCACCCCACATTCCAACATAGGGCGGTGGGTTTTAGCAAACTTCCATTTACAATTTTGTGATACAAATACATTATACAATTGCCATTTTCTTGAATTTCTTCCAACTATCCTTCTTTATGCAACACTTTTCCAGTTCTGTACAAAACTTCTGTCACGTTCAGCAAACCTTCATCACATAACATTCCTCTCTGTTCCTACAATGATTTATGCCAATCCAGACCTTCAGCTTACAAACTTTCGCTACTTTAGATAACTTTTTAACTGCTTCACTTCCTTCTCTCCTTTTTACAATATCACATACTAATAATCCTTTCTGTGGCTTGACTATCTTCTGACCCATCTTCCCCCCTCTCTCTGGGTCACCCAACATCTCGCTCTGTTCTGTTCTTTCACCTTAGTCTCAGCTAACGGTTTCAGAGGCAGCGCGGGCAACTATTAGATTAATATCCCTATTCCGCTGCTTTCTGTCTTATCTCAGAACAAACACTAATCCACAAATACACTCAGAACAGGACATTACACCTGCCGCCCCTCGCTCCGTGAAGCCTCAGCAGCTGAGCTAAACCCTCAGGGGTCTCACACCGTCAACCCCGAGTCACCGTCCGTAGACGCTTGTTGCAAGGTTCCATCTTCCAGGGGCCCACAGCTCACCTGGTCAGAAATCTCATTGCAACATATTGCAAGGTTCCGTCTTCCAGGGGCCCACAGCTCACCTGGTCAGGACACTCATTGCAACTTATCTATCAGTCTACTGAGTTATCACAGTCGCACAGGACGACAGACACTGAACAAATACACAGTCAGCAGAAATCCAATGGCAGGTTCGTTAAACAGCCCCAGGCGAGAAATAAAAATTGCCTGCCGCTCTTGATGACCTCTGGAAGCCGACAAAAACTGGCGCCAAGGCTGGACAGAAAACAAATCGTACAGTGGTAAGTATAAAAAGTACCTACTGTACTCTCAGGGGTGCGCAAATCCCTTTTGGTCTGTCCCAGCCAGCCGCTCAGTCCCTCACGCGGCCTTCCATCGATCAGAACCTCGAGCCCACGTTGGGCGCCAGCTAAAAAGGTTGGGAGAACCACAATCGGGCTCAGGGTAGGATTTCTGCGTGCACGCCGGAAAATAATTACACGGACAACTGTCCAGTACAACCACTTTCACATCATCTCATCTCTGTTTATTGCAGGGCGGTGCTTAACCTTTTATACATAGAGAACAATAGAGTATACGTCACTATTACGTATATACAGTCACATTCTAAAAGGCACATTTTTTGCTTGGTTGAAATATAGGAGAAATGTAGAAACTTGATGCTTGCTTCTCATCCCGTTATCTGTTCACTCCTCCTCACATTCCCAAAGTCTAAGTGAAGTCCTCTGTGAAGGGAGGGGTTGAGAGCATCGCTCTGAGCAAAACAAGTTAAGGAGGACTACAAAGCCCAGCAGACAATATATATATATATATATATATGTATACACAAATATACACATACACACACATATATATATATATATATATACACACATACATATATATATATACATATATATACATACACATACATTTAGAAATATAAAAAAGTATAAAAGTAAATATGTATAAAATGTATATTTTAAACAGAAAACAGAATAGGCATTTTACCAAATCCATCACAATTCTCACCTGGTACCTGACCTTGGCTTTGAACTGGCTATCCTGTGATCCTGTTTCCCGGAAGGCTTGCATACTCTCGCACAGTCACCACCTGTCTGCAGATCCCATTTCAGTGCATCAGCTGTGCTCATGGGTGGACCACCAACGAGCACTCCTACAGGCAACCTGTGCAACTTTGGGCCTGACTCTCGCTGTCCCACTCTCAGGGGAGTCTGGAACTTAGCCGCAAGGGAAGCCCTCTCTCCATTGGCCTCCAACGCCAGGTACGTGACACTCCAGTAAACAGTCTAGGTGATGTCTAATTAGGATATATTGCTTGAAGAACTTGTAGCAGGAGAGCGGTGAGGGTGGCAAGGAATACTCCAGGCACACTAGATAGTAACAGGAGAAAACTCTTTACTAGGCTAGGCTTCTCATGCCAAGGACTTAGGCCAAGGCCTGAACTGAAACCCTGTAAGAGCTGCCACTGGCACTTATCCCTGAAAAGACCTTGAGCTTCGGTCAGTAGTCTCAGCATCACAGAACAGCTGAACACTCCCCAGTTTCCACCAGACATCTCTATGTCACCGGACAACGGCACAGTACCCGGCTTCCACTGGACACTCTTCAGTGGGGGTGAGGTTAATATTCACAATGCCACAGGACAGCTATACACTTTCCAGTTTCCCTCAGGCACTCTTCAGTGAGTTCTCCAGACCAGGTCCTTAGGGGATGTCACTTAATTAGCTCCAAACTTAGGAATAGGACCATAGCTAGGACCCCAATAAACATCAGCAAAACTCCAGCAGAACTGCCTCAAAGGGGCAGCAGCCCCCGAGGCTGTGGAACTTTCTCCATCAGGATAAGTACATGGCTGCTCCAGACCCCAGTCTATTTCTGTTCCCCCAGCCACCTACTGGGTGCACCTCCTCAGGAATTGGCTGAAACACAATATAAATTCAAGCAGCCCATTTGGCTCTCTCCACCCTATGTTCTGGAAGCCTCCAGAAAGCAGGGGGAAACAGTCAAACCTGCAACCTGTGAAATCTAGAGCAGCCCAAAAAATTAATAGCTGCTCCACTGATTACAGAGGAGGCAAAAAATAACTAAATTTACCTATCATTCTAGCAGCCTGGCTAGGAGAGTGCGAAGTAGATATACTATGTCCACAGGCCTTCCTCTGTCCAGATTACAGCTCACCCCCTCATAAAGAGTTAACAGGTCGGTTGAGCAAGAATGATCCTTCATAAATCCATGTTGGTTACCACTAATTATACTATTTTCATCATCAAATTCTTAGATAGGGTCCCTTATCATTCCTTCCAAAGGTTTTACATACTTTAGATGTTAGGCTGACTAGTCTGTAGTTTCCAGAACTATATCTCGGCCCCTTTTGGAATACTGGTACCGCGTTTGCTTTTTGCCTAGCAAGCCCTCATCAGCAAATTCTTGGATACGCTCCCTCATCATTAGTTCCAATAGTTTACATATTATTGATGTTAGCCTGAAGTTTACTCTCCTGCACAATGTTTTTTGTAATCTCTTTTAGCTGCCCTCTTACATTTATTTTCCTGACAGACTCCATGGCAGCATACGTACGGGTTTGCTCCGCCCTCTCCAATACGTATAGGAACCTACTCCCTTAAGAGGCAACAATCCATAACTAGGCTACTCATGACATTGGGAGGGTACGCCCGCTGCCATGGAGTCCATCAGGAAAGGAAAATTCTGGTAAGTATTTCATTAGAAATGTTATGTTTTTGCACTCTCTGTATTTTTGGAGTGCCGAGATGATGACCCCTCGGCCTTGTATTTATTAAAGGACAGTTTTTTCTCGTTGATAATCCTTTTTATCATAAATTTATTTTCTTTAAAAAAAAAGTTAACAGGTTTCATTTTTGCATTTTTTTTTTTCAGGTAAATATGAAATGTTACATCTGAAAAGGTCATATTTTCCACTTTCAGCCAGCAGGTGGAAATCTCCAAGCAAGTGAAAATGATAACTAGTGCTGTACAATTGTCAGTCCAGTCATGCGGTATGATCCATCCATAAGTAATATCTAGCTCCTCCCTCACCATTATGTCATTCATGGAAGCTTCTGCTGCAGGTCAGGGGAGATCAGACTACACTGGTAGAAGGACCCAACCAGCAGTGACCCCCCCCCCTTCCTTCTCTCTCACCGTGGTGTCCTCCATGGAAGCTTCTGCTAAAGGTCAGGGGAGATGAGACTACACTGCTAGAGGGACCCAACCAGCAGTGATCACCCCCTCCTTCTCTCTCCTAGCAGAGGAATCCAGACACAACTTTGAATTCGTTAGTGATCTCTGATCAGTCACGTTCTCTGAGGTGTATATCAAGGTGTGCTTCTTCCCAGTGTGAGATCTCTGATGTATGGCAACATATCATCCATATAGAAGACATTTCCTGCACTCAGGGTACTAATACACCTCTAGGGTTCGGTGGGTTTTCAGATGTCTGTAAAGATGTGACTTCTGTGGAAAACATTTCCCGCACTCAGGGCAGGAATAAGGCTTCTTGCCGGTGTGTAATAACTGATGTCTGGAATAGTTGGTCTTATGTGAAAAAGATTTCCCGCACTCAGTGCAGGAATACGGTTTCTCCCCCGTGTGAGATCTTTGATGCACAACAAGGTGCGATTTTTGTGGAAAACATTTCCCGCACTCAGGGCAGGAATACGGCTTCTCGCCCCTGTGCAATCTCTGATGGCTATAAAGATGGGCCCTCTGTGAAAAACTTTTCCCGCACTCAGGACAGAAATACGGCTTCTCCCCCGTGTGAGATCTGTAATGTATTTTTAGATCTGATTTACGAAGAAAACCTTTCCCGCACTCAGAGCATAAATTAAGCTTCTCACCCAAGTGAGAGTTCTGATATACAGAGAGAATTAGTTCAGAGCTGAAACATTTCCCACATTCAGGACAGGGAATCGTCTTCTCCCCCTGAACCCCGGCCCCATCCCCCACAGTACGAGGGTGCTCAGAGTCAGAGGGATTCCATGGTCTCTCCACACTGGGAAGTCCACCATCCATAGTGGAGCTCATTGTCTTTCTCCGGCACAATCTCCTGGGATGTCCTCATCTTCCATTTTACAACCTGGAGATAAAGTGAGACGATCCTTTGAGGGTTTCTCCATGGCGGGTCCTGGAAAAATAGAAAAACATCATCAATAGATAGAAGAGGGTTAGTTCACTTCCATCAAGATTCCATCTGGATCAGGGAGATAGGAGTGGCTTCCAGTGATATGCAGCACTGGAGGGAGCTTGCATCAGCATTATCTTCTGAAAAAACAAGTGTTGCTTCTTATTAGGGATGAGCTTCAGGACGACCATGAGTTGGACCTGAACCCAAGATGTTTTCATTTCATTGAGCAGGTGAACTATGTGGCTGGTTGGCTCGCATGCTGAACTTCTGCCTGCCTGCACCACAGGTCATTTATTTAGTGGTACTATCACTACCGCCAGTAAATGACATGTTCACACTTGTAAATTGCTAGGTCACGGGAGGTACCTATCTCCTAGCAACCAACGATGCTTTGCAGCCGCATGCATGCATGCTAGCAACCAGTGAGGATATGTGGCTGTCTGCATCCTAGCAGCATAAAAAGCTATGCAGCCCCTCCAGCACTACTAGGTGGATAGGGCACAGGTAGCCATAGAGAACCAATGGTTGCTAGGGTGCAAGCAGTTACCTTTGCCCTAGAAACAACAGATGAAGTGAAGCCAACTGCTTGCAAAGTGGCTTTGAAAAAGCTCCACTAGACTTCAATGGGGTTTGAATATTTCGAGCAGTGATTGTGCATCCTCTTGTGAACTGAACACAGGCCAGAGTACTCATACCTACTTCTCATCCCAACAATACTGGTAATATGGTAACATCTATCTATAAGTCTGCTGGAACAAGAGGGACCGACCCAAGAAAGGCTCAATCTGTGTTACTGGAACTAGGAGTGACACCCAACCGAGTACAGCCAGCTGAACCCCAGGACAGGTATCAGTACAGGGAGGGGACCATTACCACCCTATTATTGGTTGATATCACTCAGCTCCCCCCCTACTCTGGGCCAATCAGTGAGCAGTAACAGAGCAGAGATAAGAGAAGAATATATTCTGGTCACCTGTGCGGATCTCTGTAGGAATGTCCTCCTCTATGAATGTCCTCCTCATTCCAGCCTCCTCCATCGATTGCTGATCATCCCTCACATACGTCTCTTCTACTTCACCCTCAACTTTCATGTTCATCAGATCTTCACCCTAAACCAACAGAATGGCAGAAAATAACATCTGTAACATAGAAGGATTTATGATGGGAGATCACATAGAACATCTCATCTTGTAGAGTCCACACATCGTCTCCACATGTCAGAGTGTTCCATCACTTTATGTTCCCGACCCTCAACTCCACCTACCTGATGATGGTGAGGGATGGTATGACCTTCCTGTGTGGAATCCCGGGAATACAGAGGACGGGGACATCTCTCTGGTGGGTTCCTGGTATTAGGTGGCTCCATCATATCCTTGTGTCCTTCAGAAAGCTTCTGCAAACCATACTCCTCATCCTCCTCTGTAAACTCTTCTTTAACAACAATATTAAAATCTCCAAGGCTTGCACTCTAAAATATATAATAATACATTCATTATAACATGCTTACATATAAATCACAACTATCAGTGATTGTTCCTCATCTACCTGATGATGGTGAGGGATGGTGTGACCTTCCTGTGTGGAATCCCAGGAATACAGAGGACGGGGACATCTCTCTGGTGGGTTCCCATGACTGGATCCATCTACCTGATGATGGTGAGGGATGGTGTGACCTTCCTGTGTGGAATGCTGGGAATACAGAGGATGGGGACATCTCTGTGGTGGGTTCCCATGACTGGATCCATCTGTAATAAACACACACACTGACTGAATCCATTGTTTCTATGTGTTTATCAGATGATGGGGGATCTAGGTGGACCCTCCGTACTGCTCTTTCTTTTCCAATAAAGTCTCCTCTTACCCGGTGATGTGAGGGGCGGCTGATTGTCCATCATGACGTCCTTGTAGAGGTCCTTGTGTCCTTCTAAATACTCCCACTCCTCCATGGAGAAATAGACAGTGACACCCTGACACCTTATAGGAACCTGACACACACAATGATACAGTCACCATCCAGACACATCCCTTGTATGTTACTGGAGAATGTCCCAGAATTCCCAGCACCGCTCACCTCTCCTGTCAGCAGCTCCATCATCTTCTTGGTGACTTCTAGAATCTTCTGCATGTTGTGTCTCTCAGGGTTTAGGGAGTCACATGGAGGCACTGTGATGGTCATATGATCCCCTGACTTCAGAAGAGGAAATCTCTGTTTTGGGGAACCAATAGGAACATCATGTTAGACTCCCAGAATCCTCACCTCTCCAGTCAGGTCTGTGTTTTATTATTAGAGATGAGTGATGTCATGCGACCTCCCAGAAATCTCCTCACCTCCCCAGTCAGGTATGTGTTTTATTATTAGAGATGAGTGATGTCATGTGACCTCCCAGAATCCTCCTCACCTCTCCGGTCAGCAGGTAGATGATCTCCAGGGTGAGGTTTAGTATCCTCTCAGTCATGTCACTCCGGTCCTCCTCCATCCTCATTGGTCATGTGATCTATACTGGTTTCCTGTAGTCCAATGATTGATAACAGAGAATGATCTGGATTGTACTGGTTGTACAATATTAGGATGGGGGGGAGGGGGGATAATATGAGGGACATCCAGTTTAGTGTTTCCTATATTTGCAGGGTCCAAGAGCCTCTAACCCTTCGGCCTTTATGTCTGAATAAAACTGCAATTCTCCAGAAATCTCCATAATGAAGACAATGCTCTGGCTCTGTAGGGGTTAATCTTCATTTCCACACTAAATATGTGTGAAAAGAGGGGGATTTAAAGGGCAAAGCGGGACAGAGAAAACTGGTTCCTAATAATATGCAGTGATTGGAGATATTATAAAATTATATCTTATTACCTCCTCTACTGCCACTTCCAGCAATGTCTTCTCTGTAATTCTTCGAACATGCAACTTAGTGTTTGTACCTGACATCACTTCCTGTCCGTACGTGACATCACTTCCTGCCTTCTATAGAGACTTCCTGCCTGGGTAGAAGTGAGATCACCCCTTGTGGAGCTCAGAGGAACTGCAGCCCCGAGAACCGTCTGGTAGTGTGACCCCGGCCTTGTGCTGGGTGTGTATGGACTGTATGTCCTCATAGAGGGGTCACCTCCACTCCCACCAAGGGGGACAGAAATATATGACTGCCTAGTCCGGCCTTTCTCAGACAGGGTTCCTCCAAAGAGTTCTAGGGGTTCCTCCAAAGGGACCTAGAGGTTCCTTGAACAATTAACAATTTCTGTCTCTCAGTAAGTAGTGGAGCTCAGAGGAACTGCAGCCCCGAGAACCATCTGGTAGTGTGACCCCGGCCTTGTGCTGGGTGTGTATGGACTGTATGGCCTCATAGAGGGGTCAACTCCACTAACACCAAGGGGGACAGAAATATATGACTGCCTAGTCCAGCCTTTCTCAGCCAGGGTTTCTCCAAAGGGTTCTAGGGGTTCCTCCAAAGGGACCTAGAGGTTCCTTGAACAGTTAACAATTTCTGTCTCTCAGTAAGTAGTGGAGCTCAGAGGAACTGCATCCCAGAGAACCGTCTGGTAATGGGACCCTCGTGCTGGGTGTGTATGGACTGTATGTTCTCATAGATGGGTCACCTCCACTCCCACCAAGGGGGATAGGAATATATTATACAAGAAATAATGCTTGCAGCACTGAACTCCTAAATCCACAGCTTTTAACTAACAATATATATAATGAGAGGTTTTACACACACACTCTCTCTCTCTCACTTTACAAGTCTGCTATCAACTTCCAAGATGGATGGGATCCAATAGCTTCACAGAAACCAGATCTCTTTCATGGATACCCAAGACACCAAGACAGGCGCCCCCTCCTCCATCCCACCTGTTGGCCTAGGACCCAAATAAGGGGGGGGGGGGCAATTGGAAAGATAAGATGTCATTCACTGATCTCCCCTAACTAGAAAGAAGCTGGAAGTGACTGGCATTATGTCACTTCTGATTTCGGAAGGAGCACTATCTTGCATAGACGTTAATGGGGGACCCCCACACAAAAAGAGATATAGGGTTTCCCCCTTATTCATACCAGACCCTTCAGGTCTGATATGAATTTTAAGGGACACTGCACCGATAAAAAGCATGAGGTTCCCCAAAAATGCATACCAGACCTTTATACAAGTTGAAGCCTCCATGGAAGGAAAGGAGAGGTTAGCAGGTGGACCCCTTCCATACCAGGCCACATTGCCCTCAACATGGAGATACCATCTTCCCATATGAATGAGTATTCCTATTTATTCACAAAAAAATGGAAATCAAAAAATAAACAAAAATTACCAGAGACACTGCTTTTGATGAGTGCTTTATTAAAAAAAAAAAAAAAAAGTCCTACTCATCCACCGTCAATTACTTACTCCAGCAAAGAAGATCTACATCAACTATGCTGCTCAATGCCCAAAAGAAAAGAAATCTGCCAACTTCTGACACATTTTGTTTCCAGTTGTTTCACTTTCACCAAATTACAGTTCTAGCAGATAATAACTGTATATACAAAGGGGCAGGGTCTCCTTACTGATGTCATTGCCCATGTTTGGACATGACCAAATATGGTCAAATATAACAACAACACATAGATTCGAATGACATAACTGGCCATATATAGTCATGTCCATATA